TTGAATCAATTTGGATTTGTAAAGAAAATTAATTTATTTTGTTTGTAAGCAGTGCAAATTTGATCTTTTGTYGCCAAAAGGTAGCTGTCAGTCTAGTATTATGACTTTTCATTTTATGGTTTTGGAAATTTTCTTCATAAAATGTGATGGTACATTTACTGTCATTACTTTTTTGATTGAGAGATTAGAAATATAGTGAATTTTAATTATGCTAGATTGCTTATACCAAATTGCACGTAGAATAGCAAAGCAAAAAGCAAAATAGCAAGCAAAACCCCCCAGCTTGGGGTTGTTTTTTTATTTCTTTCTTATCATCGTAGTGGAAATGGAAGACCTAAGTATCATACAAAAACAGGAGAAGGTGCTCGAGCGCTGCAAGTACTGGCCTGCGTGTAAAAATGGAGATGAATGTGTGTACCATCATCCCACACTACCTTGCAAGTGAGTAGTACAGAGCTCATCCACTTGACATGCTATTTTGATTTTTATTCCAGTGCTACAAATTTCTGCTCTGTGTCAGTAAATATTCCAAGGCAGGTCTGTCAGGGTGGGATCAGAGCTCGATTATCACAGTGTAATTCCTTCTGTTTTTCACCCCTCTCCCCTGTGTCAGAATACAGGGATGGCAGCTGTGTCTTTGCAGAAGAAGCTTTAGTTTAATGTCCAGGCTGGTGCTTTGAGTTGCTTAAAGATGCAGGAATTGTGTCTTAAAAGAACAGGCTCTCTTCTGCCAGCTGTCACAGTGCTTTTGAACCTTCGACTATTATTACATAGCAATGTGGTGATTGTGAGTTTTAAATTTGAAAGCAAAGGTGAACTCTTGAACGTGCCCTGTGTCTTTTCTTCTTTTCCATAAGCAGCAACAGTCTAGAAAATCCGTATCTGTTTTGAGGTAACTGTTACCAGACTGGGTAACTTCATTTGAGTAACATACTCAGATTTGAATTATCTTTTAAAATCCGCTGTAACTAAATTAAAAATAAAACTTTTTCTTCAGAGAATAAACTGTATTATAGGGAGTTCTGCACCCCTCTCTGGGAAGGTCTGATTTCCCAGTGCCTTTGCTACACTGTGCCACACACTAAGAGTGACTTGTGCCCAGTTGCAACTGGCTTTAGTGAGGTGGTGCAGTTATTCAGTGCATGGAAGGAGTGTCTGCAGGAAGGGAAGCAGAGCACAGGTGTGTGGTGCACAGCTCATGCTCTACACCACGTGCCCTGCTTGGGAAGTAACCAACACATGCCCAAGCCCTGCTGCACCTCTGGCTTTCTGTGATATTCTGCCTTTTGTGTGCAACAGATGTTTGACGATTTTGTTCCAAGTATGATTTTTTAATTATATTTTTTTTCCCTCAGAGTTTTTCCTAACTGCAAATTTGCTGATAAATGCCTGTTCATCCATCCAAACTGTAAATATGATGCAAAGTGCACTAAGCCAGACTGTCCTTACACTCATGCTAGTCGACGAACCCCCCATCCATCTCCTAAACCAGGTGAGCACATCTTGTTTTCTKAGCTTTAGATGAAAGTGCTGAAGGGACAACAGTATTTTTGGAAACAGAAATTGACAGTGGTGAAATTTTTTTTTTTTGCTTGAGTTGACCTAATTTTCTAACTCTTAATGCTAGGTGAAGAATAATAATCCAGTGTTACTAAAAAGTTTACTATCAGAAAAATAGGCTTCTGCCTTTGGACATTTTTTTTCCCTAGTCTGGTGTAGGAGTTAGGTTGATGTAATGATGAGATGACTTTCAGGGTGAGGTTACTCGGTGAAAGAGTTTGGAAGGCAGTGTTTGGACATGGATTGGTGTTGCTGAGCCTTTGAAGCATGCCAGGGTGCAGGGCCTTTACTGCATGATCTTTTGGAAGTAATTTAGCCCCTAGTCACAGTTCAATGCCGTTTTGTTACTTTGCCAGAAGCCAAGTACAATGTGCTTGACTCCTGTACCATTTCCAGCAGCTCCTCTGTATTCCTGGAAAGTGCCGTGCCTGCACTTTTTAGTCCAGTCAATTGAAACTCTAACAGGCTTGCTGCTGCCTAAATTTAACATTTGAGATTCTCTGCCTACCMGAATCTCTGTGTAATTTGTTGGAAGCTTTGCCTTGACCATGGTACTTCCTGTYCTGAAATGAAGAGCTATTTTAAATGATGACCTCAGAGCCTTGTTCTACTCCAGGATGAGATCCACTAACTGCATGGGGATATGCTGTCTGTATTTCTTGCTGAACTTTGGTGTATTATAAAATGGAATTTTGTGCAGAGGATTGATATATTTAAGGTTGTGAGGAGCTGTCTTAAAAAGGCAATTTACTGTGATTCAGACTCACTTCTTCTTCTTTTCATTTCTCCTATTAGCACCTCTACCCACATTGTCCATATCCTCCAGTAGTCCGCTGTGCAAGTTTTTTCCAGCTTGTAAGAAAATGGAGTGTCCATTTTATCATCCAAAAGTAAGATGTATCTCCTGTCCTCCTTCCTTTCTAGAAAGAGACGTGAAATATGCTACTTTRGGACAGGAAATGTTACTAGGATTTCACACTTTTTGCTTTTACTTTTCATGCTTTAACTTAGAAGCAAAATTTCCAAAAGCAGTGGCTTATGATATTTGGAAAATTGTATTTTTAAGTAATCTTTCTATCAGATGCTGCTGGGGAGCTTCTGTTTGAAGAAGGCCATAGCTCTTTGCAGAAATGCCCAGCCACGATGCTGGGGGCAAAGGAGGAGCCTATTAGGAAGGAATACATCTTAAGACTCCTGACTGTTTCTTCAGACATACTGCAATATACAAAATCTTCAAAGATTGCCCAGTTACCCTAAAGTGTGTTAATGTAATTTATATACTACAGGAGTCTATTGGTTACTTCTATAGAAATGTGTCCCTGTATCTTATTCCAGGAAGTTGAGTGCATTTTCAAGCCCTAGCAATGCCAAAATACCCATGCTCAGATATTATTAGCCAGATGCTCTGGCTTTTCTCCCTCCTCAGACAATGCTGTGTCATGCTCCTAACTTGTATGCACAGGTCAATTCAAACTGAACTCTGTAATCCCTTGAAAGCATTTTCCACCTGTCACTGCAGTGACAGTTTTGGAGCATCAGATTCAGAGCTGATACTTTTTAAAAAGGATTTTGTCACTGGGTTGAGCTGATGGCACTGGTGGAGGGGTGTTGGTTCAGTTGTGGGTCAGATGTCACACAGCGATAGAAGCTTGCAGCGCAGCTCAGTGTGTTCATACCAGGCACTCAGCACTGAGCAGCCCCTTCTGAAATACCTTTGGTTTTAGCATTGTAGGTTTAATACACAGTGTACRAGACCAGACTGCACTTTCTACCACCCCACTGTTGCGGTACCTCCACGCCACGCCTTGAAATGGACTCGAACACAAACCAGGTGAGAAGCACTCTAAACCTAACCAAGAAAAATAAAAAGTATGCTGTGACATTACTAATGTAGTTCTGCTCACAGAAGTAGTGTGTGTGTGTGAGGAGCAACAACAACTGTATGAAGAAAGATACCCCTTATGGGCAGCTTTCCTTTTAAAGACAGATCTGTGCTGTTTGGTTGTAGCTGTATAAACATTAATTAACRTGATGCAACCCTGATAAACACATGCCCTGCAGCTGGGATAGGGCAGAGTTACTGGAATTGTGACCTGGACAGGTTGTGTTTTCTGAGTAGTATTTGAATAAAGCTGAAAATCCTTTAACCAGTGTTCTGTCTTGTGTCTAAGCTGTCTTTTCCACAATAAGTTCAGCTGTTTCTTAGAGTGTTTCTGTCAGATCAGCTCCTTCCTGTCATCTATCCATGATTTCATAAACCAGTAGCAAACTTCCCAAAGCTGTAGCTCTGGGCCTGTCTTAAGGCTTATACAATTTAATGATCTTTTCACTCCAGCTAATCCTATCTGCAGAGGTTTTAACCATTACAGGAGTAGGGCACAGAGAGTTCTCAAATTATCTTTACAGAGGGGTAGAATGGTTCCTTATGGAATTGTTTTTTTCTTCCTCCTCAGTGAATGAATATGATACACCCCTGGGACTGAGCTTTGCCTCCTCTGGACAGTAGAGGACAGGAAGATTAACCACCAGGCACAGGATGCTAGGAAAGACTCATGCATTTTGGACTTTGAATATACATTGTTTTCATAAAACGAAGTTGATTGCATACTTGAAATGTCTCTAATTTTCCAAGTTTGTAAGTTTGAGCAATTTTACATTTTTTTTACACTGTAAGAAAAAAACATCTGTGTAAGAAAAGTTTTACTTTAAATTCCATTAAAAACCTTCAAAGCACATTTTGTATTCTGAGTAATGTTCCTTGTTTAAGATTTGGTGTGTTGAAGAAGAAAGTATGGCAGCAGAAGCTCTTAAAAAGTTTATTCCTGCAGTTGGAGCATAGTAGAAGTACTTTTTGTCCTGCAGGTGTTTGGTACAGTGCACACACTCCACTGCTGTCCCCCTGCTATCCCAGCACCCAGGGATTGAACTCTCCACCCCAGCAGAGGCACAAAGCACGTGCTTTGTGTTTCAGGTATTGTGCCAGGGCATCGGTCATCACAGTCCTTCTGCTCTCTGAAATGGGGAAGAAACAAAACAAGGCACCACTTCAGACGCCAGAACAATTAAAAAATKACTTACTGTGCTCCATTTAAAAAGCCTATGAACTGCCACTTCACTTGGAAATACTCCCAAATGCCTCCATTTATACCAGGAAGAAAGTACCTCTGAACTTTCTTCTAAGGAATTCTTTTTTCCTACTGTGGTTTTCTTCTTCACGAAGGTTCCTGTGATTTACATGACAAAAAATAATCCACACACTTGCCCATAAATAAGTTGAAGTGATATTAAAATGATGAAACATGTTAACAGTAACATAAATGCACTTTTTTATTAAATCTTTTTTATATTTTGGGGAACTACATTTTCACAAAAATATACAAAAAAATTTATTTTTACAAATATTTACATTCAATATCAGAAAACAATGATAGCTACATATTTTAAACTTAAATTTGACAAATATAGTCTTGATTTTATAACTTAACACTCCAGGAAAAGTATTTTTTAATTTTTTTTTAAATAAAGTACTCAAAGTTTATATTCAAATTTAAAAAAATCTTAATTAATGCAAAAATCGGACATGTAATTTATATATATATATATATAATTTAAATAAACATACAACATTGTTACAGGAATTAGATGTTCATGGTGGAAACCAAAATGGAGTACATTTAAACCCATGATCCTTATTACAGTAATACATGACTGACCATACCTTTGGACTAGTTTGAAATACCTTTTTTTTTTCTTTTTTTTTTTCTTGTTAAAGCAAGAGGGATTATCTGACACACTCCATAATGAAACAACGAATCTGAACAGACAACTGGATTTTAAGCTTAGAGAACTACAGTAAAATATTTTCATAAGGTGACCTGATGGGGAGGAGAGGAGAGGATGTGCTCTCGTATTGCACAGAGCACCGCTCAAATGGGTTTCTAGATGAAAGACTGCAAAGAACATTATTTTTCTACAGAATTTCCCAATGCCTTCATTAGCTGTCCCTTGCAGAAATAGCTGCCACAATGAAGCTGTTTCTGTGTGAGATGAGGAGACAATAATTCGTAAGGGCAGCAGAAGACCAGGACCATCTCCATTGCTGCATTTCCACTGCTGTGCTGGGCTGTCACCAACTGCACAGTGTTCAGCGTGACAAAAGGAGCTGCTGCTTTTCCTCTGCTAAGAAAGGGTGAACAAACCAAGCCACAAAGCTAAAAGGGCATTTTTTTTTCCAAGGGAACGGTTCTAACGCATTTACTTAGTTCATTACATTTTTAAGTTATCATTTTGGGCTTGMATATGAAATTTTACATTAAAAATGCCTTAACTTGCTTCACAAATCAGTAATGCAGCTTTTCCATTACTTTATGCTCTATACCCATAACTGAACTAAAAAGCAGAAATGAAGCTAAAAATGAAGCTTACCAGGTATTGCTTAAAAAATAAAAATCAAGGTATTTTGCACTTGAAACCACAACACCAGGATACATAGTAGCAAGAAAAGGAAAATTAGATCAGAAATGTGTAAAGTACTAYCCAACAGCACCAACATTTCACAAAAGTACAGGAAATCATTTTTATTTCATGCAATGTGTGTCTGTGTTCATGCCTAGAGTTTGTTTAGAAAGGACATTTACTGGATTCCAAAAGAATACAGTGTAGCACATGTCCTGAGTGCAACTGGTGATTGAAAAAATCGGGGTGTTGTAGCAGTACCACTTCAGCTCGATTGCATGGAAAGATCCCCCGCTTCTCCCCATCACAAGAATTTGCAACTAAGTTAATAGAAAATTAATTTTCAGCAACAAAATGCTTGGGGTTGGCTTTGCATTACAAATGACCASAGTAACAGCAAAGCTGTGGTTAAAGCTGGGTGACCTCTCAGCCACTACATTGGAAAAATAAACTTATTTGGCGGCTGGGAAGGGGGAGCTGGGATAAGGGCTTCTGTGGGCAGGAGGAAGAGTAGTAATAGCCAAACTAATGAAGGAATAATGGAGAATATTACATGAATTKTTTTTTGTTTGTTTTCCCTAAAGGCTTACAATCCTGTAAGAGGCCTAAAACTAAAATACCCCCCTACTAAAGCCCTTTTTCAGAATGCTCAAATGCAATGCTTTTTGCAATAATTTATGGTTTTGTCCTTACGACCTCATCTCCAGCCTTGGCCCTGCTGAGAGCAGCTGAATGCTGCAGCAGCTTTATGAGCTCTGCAGCACCACACACCATGGGACAGTGGCATTTGCCCCCTCCTAAGTTGGTAAAGCACGAGTGGCCTTAATGCTCTGGTTTAAAACACCGTCTATTGAGGGGGCCACTTAGGAGTTAAGTGGATAGAATCTGCTTTCCTTTCCAAACTGTGAATCACACACATCTTCACAGCAATGGAACCAACATGACAATACTTGGCAAGATACCATTAAAAAAACAAAAAAATATTTGAGATTCGTTGGTTTTGGTTTGGGTTTCTTTCTGGTTTTCAACAAGCTGTCACATGACATCTGTGCCCAAACTAAGCAAGATACATGCTGCTAAGAGCAAATCACTTTGCAGAGTCTTGAAGTTATCGCACAAACAGCAACAGAAAAACTAAGGAAACACCTATTTTGGCTTATGGAAGAGAAATCCAAACACACCAAGCAATGGGAGCATCGTGCCTCTCATGTCCCAAACTCAATTGCTCTCCAGAAGGTGGAGAGGGATCAGTCCAGCTATTCATGCACAAATTTTGTGTTTCTTACAAAGAGTTGCTACGAGTAAAAGTCCAGTTGTCTAACCTGCACCTATAATGAGTTTGGATTGTTTTTTACATAAAGTTTACCTTAATTATTTCTCTGTTTTGTAATGGTTTGCTATGGGATGAAATCAAAAACCTTATACTGACTTATTTCTACTCACATGTATTCCTAGAATCTACATTAAATTCACCTGACTTCCTACATATTTGAATGCCCATGGCACGGAACCATGGAAAACTCAGCTAAAGTAGAATCTGAACTGCCCTCTGCACATTCTTCTCACTGTTAAACCTTGAGTTAAAACTAATAGAGCCCACAGCTTTCATGTCTGCCATCTTAAATGCTGTGAATGCCTGGGAACAGAACCAAGAACTGYTGAATAGGAAAGAAACAAGAGAGGCAGTAATTGCTACAGCTTGGTTATGAAGAGTTTTCTGAAGTATATTTCTTTGGTTTAATATTTTTTGTTTAAAGAACATTTTTTAGAAGAGGCCTATTAAAGCAGGCTGGCTTAGGTGGAAAGATGAGAAGCATTTTAAAATACATCCTTAAATTCTTTTGCCTGAGCTCTCAGTACTACAGAGCACTTTTGTCTTTGTAGCAGTTCCTTTGTTCCATGGCGCATCCACTGCAGCTGYGGGTACCGTGCTGTTTGCTGCTTTAGCTCAGCTCCAAACCAGTGTCCCACAGCTCTGGCAGCGAAGGCTGCAGTCCAGGAGAGTGGCTGCATCTTCCCAAAAACAGAGCAACCTAAGCTGCCTGCAGCCTTTCCAGCACTCTGCTGCTCTCCAGCCCTCACACTTCCCAAGCAGCCACTGAATATTTCCCATCTGGAACAACGTCTWCCACTCACCTCCACCCATGTCAGTCCTTTCATCTTGCCTTTGCCTATTTTTGAGTTTTCCTTTCTCCACTTTCCTCTCTTCAGCCTTTTCTCCATATTTTTTTACTGTTTTCCTGCTACTGTTTCCTCCACCCTATGTTCCATAATTTCAAAACTAAAAGGAAATTGTAAGAATGATGGAAATTATAAGAACTGCCTATTGTCACCATGCTTACACCTTTTGTTATTTTGTTTCAAACAGAGGGATGGGGAAAAGAACACATACTCTATGCTTTTTTTCCTCTTCCTTTCCAAAGAAGTAGTGAATGGGTTAGATTGCTGGTCTCACAGTTAACATAAAAACAGATCAAGGTATCAAGGTTGTGACTGGTTTGCTGCTAATAAAGTGAAAAAATGGTGCTTACCTGTTCTAGCATCAAACAGGCTGAGWAAACTACCTGGTAATTCTTAAAATGCAAATTATTTGGCAAAGAAACCTATTGTGGCTTTTATGCGTATTATGCACCTAAAACTATTCTATTTTTATTTCTAAAATATGCTATGCAGAGTTCAAGCTAGAAGTCAAATTTAAGTGAAGAGCAGAAGCCAGAGCCAACAGAATAAATGAGTTCGGTGTAACCACCCAACAGTGAGTGGGATAAGGAATGACAGCAGGCTTTGGCAAGCACATGGAYCTATCCACATGAGCAGAAATCAAATGCTGCTAAAAATTTTAGAAAAACAGCAGGTCGCAAGGAAACCTAAAAAACCAATAAGAACAAAAAAGCACACAAATGCAATACAACTAGGGGTGTTTACATCACTAATGTGGCAATGTATTTTGTGACTTGTRGCCTTGCTTTTCTTTCTGTAGAGTCTACAGGATGCTCCACTTTGTTCAAAACATTGACAGAACACAAAATGTTTTGGACAATGTTCTTCCACTRTGCCCAGCACATCCAGCCCAGGATGGGTTGGGATCCTGAGGGGGAGGTGCTGCAGGGCCAGCTCAGGGGTGTGGGGTCTCTCAGCAAACGGGCAACTCCAAGAGTGGGGCTGAGATGGTTTAGGCAGCAGCTGAGAGAAGTGGATCACGGTTTTAAACTAAGCCATTCCTGAATGCTATCAAAGTCCTGCTCTTGGTACTGAAGTCCTTTATTTGGTACTGTTTTTAGACTGAGGAGATGTCTCACCTGCAGTGSACCTGCTTTCTGATGGCACAGTTCCAGGGCAGCATCTTCCTGACTGGCAGAAAGTTCAGTTATGCTGAAATGAATCTTGCTGACACTGAAACCCTGACACAGAGCAAAGTCATTAGTTGCTCTGAATGTATGCTTTCCCACTGCTGTCAACAAGTGATAAAATAGCCCTAATTTTCTAAAATCCTATCCCTTCATTTCACAGCATTTCTTGCTTTCCCCAGCAAAATCAGCAAGTCATAGATGCTGACTGCCTTCTTGAGAATAAAAAAAAAAAAAAATCAAGTCTAAATGATTCAACATATTTGACTAATTTGCTCTGACTTGATTCTCAACTGTGTATCTCAATTCTTGCACTATGGCAACTCCCAGTTCTAAATGTATTTATTTTAAATATATCCTTGCTCCTAGGAGCTGGATTTTCCTTATCCTCTTATTTCTAAGCATGCTTAATGGCTTTCAAGGGCACATTTTTTTTAASTGACATGTCATTTTATTTTAATTGAATCTGCTCTCTAGTTAGTATCTTTTATAATTAAAAATATTGCTAACTAAAGATCCCAAATATGTATGTTTGCTGCTACCAAAAAGACAAGCTACAGTACAAAATCATCCACTTTGAGTGAYTGAATTATACAAAGAACTTTTCCTGGCCTTCCCTGGTGCTGTATGACCACAGAAGAGAGAAGCTTCAGGCAGAGCCCGCCTGCTCACAGTTCTCTCTGTGATGCTTCAGATGAAAGGCTGTCACTAGTGAGTTCCTCCACATTCCAGCTCCTTCCCAACCTATCCTAGGGGGTTCTGTCATCCTCTGACTTCTCTGCCTGCCCACCAGAACAGGCAGCCTGTTCCCATGTGCACAGCTTCAAGCACGGGTGCCAACAATTAGCAAGTTACTACAGTAGCATTTAATGTAAACAGCAAATGAGGCACAGTAGCAAGCACCATCACAGACAAAAAGACCAAAAACACCACAAAGCTGCCAACTTGGACCGAGCTGACAGCCAGCTCTTCACTTCAGCAGAGAATCACAATGACATTAATGCTCCAAACTGCAGCTGAGGCTCTGCTCTCTCCTTTCCAACATTTGTGATCATTCCCTGCTGGCTGCCCCATTTTATCTGGCAAACCATGAAGCAGTTTCACCAGGGAGAACACTGGCTACCAATATGGGCTGCAAGAAGAGGAACAGTGCTGGCAGTTTAGTTTTTAAAGAGCTCCTCAGCTTCCAGCTCCCATCTCAGCCCTCTACAGCAGCAGTGAGGTTTGGAAGAGAGTGGAGAAGCAGGGAGAGCTGGAGGCTCAGCCTTGCTCCTCCCAGGGCAGCCCTGCTGYAATTCACCCAGCCCTTACTGCTCATCCTTCAGCTCTGGGGTGGCCTTTGGGATTCCTCAGGGGAAAAGCACCAGTGGACAAATTATCAGTGGAGAGGCACAGCATTAATGAAGGGGKTAGGGGGAGGGAGGAGAAGAGGAGCAGCGAGAGGGATTCAGGAACAAACCCTCTTGATCCACATACCTCCTTCACTGGTGAAGGCCTACAGAAGAGCTCACTGAGCCTAGGATTTTGAATGGTAAAATCAGAGACAGAAAAATCAGAGACTCTGATCTGGCAGTCTGAGTAGGACAGACTAAGAGGCAGCTCTTAACACTTATCCATCCTGATCCAATGAAAGGCAACTTTAAAAGAGAGACAGGACAAATCCTACTCCAAGTCCCAAAGTCCTGCACAGATGTGTTTAATAAGGGACAAAATCACAGCTACAGAAGAGCACACTGCAAACCATTTCTCTGGTAAAGAGGAGATTTAAACGCCAGAGAATTAATTTTCATGTACAACAGACAGGCAGGAAACAAGGTTATGAGATACATCAGGTCTAATCACAATTCTCATATGGAATTCCCCTGAACTCATAAACATTACTGGCAAGAGTGTACAGAGTCCTCAGAGTTTTGCTCCTGTAGAATAGCAGCTGCATGACTGGCAAGACTTTGCTAAGAACCATCATGCTGAGAAACCTGATAACTGTTTAGTTCAACAACTCCTTTAAAATAAATATTTGTCACAGCTTGATATATAAAATATATTACCTAAGACAGGTGGATAACTAGCTTTGTATAGCACACAACAAGGAGAGCACAGGAATTTGGCTCTGTAACTTTTCTCCTTCCCTTCTACCTGCAAGCCCTCCCATTCCCTCTGTAACCACCACGCACACGAGTTGATCACAGGAAGAGATGAGGTTTATTTCTTTTTCATCTGGCATAAGAAAATGCAAGTGGTGAATAACACCAAAGCCTGTTGATGACCTAAACAGGTGCCACTGTCAGAGCAATGCTGGCTTACATGGAAAGAGAGCTTTCTGCTCACAGCAGAACGCCACAATGACAACAGTGCTGATCATTAGTGACTTTTGATCCCTGCTATGTTACATRAAAATTAACTGTCTCTAATGCTACTCTGTGACATAATCTAGACAAACAGCTGATRAAATCTTCCTCACTTCTACTCAAAACACAGCTTTGTTCGGGTTTTTATTGTTTATGTTGTTTAATGTTTCTCCAACTTAGAATCTCAGTTATGTTGCAGGATAGAATAAATGCTCGAGGTGACAGCGGGTCCATTCAAAGAAGCAGATGATTGGACATTTTTACAATCAGAAGAGAAATCTGAATAGAGACATCTCCCAGCTAGTCCTAACTCTGTTAAAAAGTTCAAATGTATAAAATATAATGCTTGCAAAGTTTATATTCTCTCTGAATCTCCCCTATGATGCTGAGAAAATAAAATCAGTTCATATTGCTCTGAAATTCTATTTTTGCCACTGGTGACATCCCAAGTTTTATCGACAAGAAAACTACAAAATCCTCACCCTGGTCCACATTTCCAGCAGAGAGGCTCACAGCCCAGTCAAGTAACACAGCAATAATCTCTCTTCCACTGAGAATACTTTTATTCACAAGGCAAAAATTGGAGTTAGACTTTTAGGTAGTGGGCAAGGCACTCGCAAAGTGAGCAAATATATTTTTGCTCATAGAACTAATTTAATGTTTAAGTGCAACAAAAACACTAAATTAGCCATGAAGATCATGCATATCCAACGGCTTTCACCAGACATGACTGTGACCCAGGCCTCTAAATACAGAAATATTTCAGTCATAARGAATCAGCTCTATTATTTTCTGCTTCACCAGATGATGTTTCCTTTTGACCAACCATAGAAATATAATTTCCCTTATAATAATTAAACATTTATTAAAATACTATATATTTCAGAGTTAATATATGGTCTCTCTCTCTCTCAGTAATAAAATATGGAATACTCTTTTTATCTATCCTATTTAGACCTCAAAACTTAAAGGAAAAACATTCATGCTGAAAAGAGATCAATGTACAGCATTAGGTCAGAAATAGCATCTCTTGATTAAAACCCCAAGAACTTGCTGTGAAACTGYACATTGATTAACAATTCACTTTTTCCTTTCATCCGCATATTTTGTTTTCAACATCTGGCAGTGAGTGGAATACAAACCCGGATTATCTGACACCAAAGCAGCCTCAGTGTCTCTGTGACAGTCCATCCTTCTGGCAGACTCCAGGAGCTCCAGGTCGTTCAGAGACACATTGCTCTGTGTCTTGGGTCATTTCTTACGCATGCAGGGCACAGTGGAACGTCACGTTGCAATCCTGGGTATTTCATGCCTGGTACTTCATGCAGTGTCCCCTTTGCAAGTCTCCATGTCCCTCTCAGTGAGGCATATGCACACACTTCCAAACAAATAAGCTGTGTTTTCAAAAAGATATGAAATATGAGATATAAAAGACTACAGTCTTGTTAAAAGAAATGGCTAACRTAGCCAAAATAAATTTCCATTAAAACTATGATGTTATGAATGTAGACATGAATGTTTTAACTTATTAAATCTTAGCTGTTCACATTAATAATTGGGATATTGATTTTGTCACAAACATCTTTTTCTCTYTGTACAAACAGGAAAGCAAGCACACGGACAAAAGGTCGAAGGCTGAATTTGAGCTTCACATTGTTTTGGACTGTCCATGTCCAGGGGTGTGTAGATTTTGGCAGGAAGGGAAAGGACACCTACCTGCAGTCGTCCCCTCCAGCACTGACCACATATCTGTCTCCACTTGTGAATCGAATATTAGTTAAGTGGGCAGAGTGACCTAAAAACCGTTTGTGTTTTGCCTGAAAAAAAACCCAACAACAGAATGAGTCTTAATATTCTGTACCCTCCTAAATCAAACAAGGCATGCAGGTTTTTATCTACCTTTTTACTGCACCACATATTTATAATGTTTGAAAGTTATGCAGGCTATCAAATGTGAAAGATCTCCTGAAGGAGAATTACTACTGAGCCGCAATGCAGATTAAATTGTCAGCCAATAAGAGAGCCCTTGCAAATTGGGAACAATGCTCAAGCTAACACAGTAACATGAAATACACCTTGTCACATGATTAACTTCAAAGCTTTGTTTAAAATTCCTCACATTGAAAGAAAAAATAAATTGCAATTGTGTGAGCAGTTTATCCTGTGCAGTCTCAAATTTTGAAAATTAACAGTGAAAACCAATTTTAAAAAAATTATAAATTAGAATTATAAAAAGCAGTGAAGCAATTTATCAGTGTTAGTGAAAAATCTGTAAACTCTTCATCCATAAAGATACACAGATGGGACTAAAATCACCAGCTATCTTCCTCATCTGTCAAATGGGTCGGAGATGTGGAATTTACTAAGGCCTTTGAAATTTTCAGTAGGCAGGCACTATGCTAATGCAGACTGGCAGACAGTATCAACACCTACAAGAGGTTTAGCAAGAGCTCTTGCACAAAATGGTAGGAAAACTCTGAGGTGGAGCATGCTTATGAGACTCTAGAGCTAAAGTTACATAAAGGTATTAAAAAGCTACAAATTTAGAGAAGAAAATATTTCCATCATGTGTCTTCTAGTGAAACAAGACAAGACCCCAATATCAACAGTACTCGTTGCTGTAACCATGCAAAAACAAGTTCTTACAAATTTTTCAGGACATGGAAAGTCAAACAGTTTGACCATGCCAAAATCATCGCCTGTTACGAGATTGATTCCCGAGTGAGAGACACAAGCACAGTTCACATCAGCTTTYTCAGCATGCCTGGACCAGATTCCAATTACTTCATCCCCCAGAACACTGAAACAGAAGAGCAAGAGATTCCAYTGAAAACCACTGCAAAAACAAGAATAAGGAAATAGAAAGCAGATCTCATATTGTAACTGGTTCTATAAAAATGCAATGTTGACATTTTATTCTCACATGTGCACATCTCATACAGCTTTTATTCTGTAATTAATTTTTATATTGTTCCATAATGGCTTCTGAAACTATTGAGTGATATAACTCCCAAAATAATGTGGCCCATGGCAATATAAGAGAATAAGAAGTGAAATCAATAGTAGTAATATTGGCCAGTGAGGAATTTGCCAAACAAAGTAAAAAAAAAAAGGGGCAGTTAGAAATAGAACATCATAGCATAAGTCTTCAATGAATAAGCTTCAGCTTTTGAAAAGAAAAAAAATTATATTCTCTATTGCATATAACTATGTTCTATTGATTCTGTAGTATTTTTGCATCGACCTAAAGAGAAGTTTCTCTGAGTCCAGTGAAGACTCTTCACTATAAACAGAGAGTGAAAAATTGTCATAAACAGAAAACATCATTATTTTAAGATTCCAGAAAACTTCCTTTGCAAGCCTTGTAAAAAGGCTTTTATTCAGGTTAGTCAGCTCTGCTTATGAATGCAGGAATTCCCAGGAATGCAYAGACACAAGAAATTTATGATTTGTTAACAGATGAATGATTTGGGTATTTTCCTGTGATTCGTTCCCCCAAATCTGGGCACAGCATAYTACATGCAAAAAGGCATAATTTACATCAGACAGACTGAATTGAGTCAGAAAACAGCAGCTTCTTGTTTTTGTCTCAAAGAGGTGACAAAAATTGATTACACAAACAAGAAACAGAAACCTATCAAAATAAGGTTGAAGATGTCTCTAAAATCTTATAATCTTAGCTGAGTATTGAAGCAAATAGTCTGGATTATTATTGCTTAAAGTGTTTCATTTGTGGAAAGATTTCAAGTATTTATTCTCAATTTTTGTCTGAAGGTGATTACCAGAGGACAATAATTGAAAGCAGGCAACAGAGACACTTGCAAATATGTGAATCATTTACCTTGTCCAAGTAGCCCAAGTTATTCTGTCAATCACAGTCTGGTCCACAAGCTGCTTTCCTGAAGGCACTTCATACACTTGCCTCTTGTAAGACCCTGTAGAGACCTTTGAGGTGRCCACAGAGAATTTACAATATGTTAAATAAATTTACAATACATTTTCAAAGATTAAAGCCTTTGAAAATTATTTTTGTGACAGTTACTTTTTACTCAATAAAGCAACTTAGCTATTAAATGCATTGAAAATTCTCAAAAATCTATAAAAGCATAAAGCAATATTGAGAAAGTGTAAGAAATCTTAACATCYAAATGTCCAATGAATAAAAAACAACTCAAGTGCTTCACATATGTCTTTTAGTGTGTGGGTATACACAAAAAAGGCAAAATAAATTCCTATCTTTTTAAAACTGACACAATGGTGTGCCTCTTAGGTTCTAAATGTTGATTTTGATGATGAGAGAAGCTTATTTCTCCTCTCAGGTGCAAATAAAATCTATAAAATAATATAKATAATATATAATATATAATAATTATATTATATATAATAATATATAAAAGATATAACAATTATTCTATTAAATCTATATGATACATAATAAAATATAGAGAGATGAAGAATTCATAGGCCTGCGAGCCCTGCAGAATGACAGATTGTACTCCTTGCTCTTTTAAGTGAGCCCATCAGCATCAGAGATAAAAATGTAGGGCAAATATAACAGGGGTTTTYAAAATCTGTCTCATTTCTATGCTTACTTCCTGTATTCAACCTCCAGGAAAATGATTCAAAACTAAAGGCATCCAGTTATCACCACCACAAAGTAAGTCTAGTGACAGTAACACACTTTAACACTTAGTTACAAAACTTAGAAGTTATCAAAGGAGAAGACTTGCAGAGTGTCTGTCATGAGTATGTTTTCCATTCAGCACCTTGAACAATTAGTGACTGATACCTGGAGATAAGAGCTATCGGCAGAGAAGTCCATCTGGATCACAAAACTTGGGATATCTTTGCAATAGCTGATTCGATTTAGTGTGGGACCCAAAGTCAGATCATAAAAATCCACTGCATTCTCACTGGAACCAACTGCTAGGTAACGAGAATCTGGGCTAAACCTAAACAGATAACAGGGGTTCATGAACACAGGCTGGCACTTACAACAGATTCTAATATTTGAAAAGTACAGGTAAATTTGCATTTCAAATATCTGCTATCCAGAACTAGAGGAAGGCAGAGTATTTAATTTTTTTTAATCCTAATTTAATTGCTAAGCAAAATAACTTTTGAAATTAAATTTTCAGGGAGTGCAAATCCGGTAGAAGGTGACAATAATTTTGGTACAGATTACAAATACAAGTGAACAGGAACATCTCTTGAACTCTGTTCATTATGAGATCTCATAACCATCTCATGGTCTAACAGCTTGTGACATTACCCAAGGGCTTTGACTCCCTGCTGCTATACTTACAAGGTTAAAAACTACAAAACTGAAGTGCTGTAASTGAAGAAAAGCCAGAACTTGATGCAATGTACTGAATAAAATTATGCAAATCAAACCTTTTGTTTGCCCAATGTGTCTTTGCACACTGGTTTCTTTCCTCCAGTTTYCCTTTCTAGTCTTGAAACTAAGTAGCTTCCTGAGCTGAACAAATTCTTCACAGTCCCTTCTGTGTCACTGCCGAAGTTTCTTTATTTCTAKTCTCTCTGAAACACACCTTGGGACAGCTTTCCAATGCCAGCAAATCCCTGACTCCTACCAGAGCTCTCCTGCAAGGTCTCTGCTTGTATTTCTTTCTCATCACACTTTTCTCTCCAAAACCTTCCTTAGCTATCATGACCAGTTTATCTCACAGAAGAAGTAGTCTGTTCCTCCACTCAAGAAACAGAAGCCAAATTTTAGTCCTGACTCCTTTCTAACAAACACAGCAAAGAGCAAACTGACAGACTGGCATTTCCATTCTCTCTCACAATCCAGTTTTCATCTCTATGTTTCTGCTCTCATTTTACCTCCTACAAATSCCTTCCCTCCAGTGTGTGAACCACACCCTTGGTGTCCCTGGCAAACCTGCTGAGGGGGCACTCCATCCCACTGTCCCTGCTGCCACAAGGATGTCAAACAGCGCTGCTCCCAACACAAACTGTAATTTTAAAAATCAAAATATTAGCAAATTTTAGCAAACTACAGTAGAAAAGGCATTATATTTTCTGACCTGATATCCTGAATTGCTGATCTTCTGTCCCGTTTTTTCCCCCAAATTTTCAGAGAGGTCACAAGAAGGATAATAAATTCTCCATTTTTCATGCCAATAGCTACCATATCACCTTCTGGGCTGTAACAAACAGTACGAGCTGCGTGTCCTAAGCTGACTTTGTTCAGCATCTTCTGTGAAGAAATAAAAACCCAGAATAGTAACTGTTACTATTTGTCYGTATTTTAAAAGCATCTTATGCTAATAGTTTGTTAACATGCTAACAGCATCAGAGGGACTATTTTCAGAATACAAAAAAAACCAAATTTCAAGTCTGCAACACCATCACAAGTCTATTTTTTTTCCTAAACTAGTGTTCTCCAACACCTACCTTTTCAACAATATCCCAGAGTCTTACTGTGCCATCTTCTGCAGCAGAAAGGAAAAAATCTCTGGACGGATGCGTTGCTAGGCCCCAGATTGGTCCATCCATGTGACCATTAATTAGAATGTTACATGCAGCATTTTTCTCTCCAACTTCAATTATTTCAGCATTTCTTGTCCCAACGAGAATTTTCCCCTTGAACAATAGTGAAAGAATTATCYCTGATAAAACATATTAACCACTCATGATGAACAGTAATTAAGATATAATCTAGAGCTATAATTCTGCCAAGAAAATTTTCTTAATCGAGTTATTAAATAATCAAATTTATTTTTTAAACTCCTGTGATTTATTAAAGTACAGAGCTCCAGAAATCATGATGCTGGTTGAGTTGCTGCTTGTCATTTGATATTTGATATCTGAAGTGTGAAAAGATAATAGAAAAGAAACCCTTAATTAGTCTTTAATTAAAAAAAAAAAATGGAATATTAGCCTATGAAAGACTGGGATCTCCCAAAGTGGATGTTTTTCTGCCACAATATCAGTTGTAGACACCTTCTAGCTTAGCCTTTAATTTCAAGTACTAACTATAAGAGAAAGCAGAAGTAATTTATCTGACATACAGAGATGAACACACAAATTATGAGCTTTATTTTACAGRCAGGCAGCTTTCTTTACCTTGCCTCTGCAAACAGAGCGAACACAGTCTGTCATCTGTCCTGTCTCCAGTCTGAAGGCACGACAGCGTTTCAGCTCCTGATCCCACAGCTTAACTGCTCCTCCTTCCTTTGAACTATGAAGACACCAGGAAGAACCATGAGTATAAGAGCTGACACAAAGAAGACAATTAATGTATGAGAGAACTACATTACTTAATGTGATGCACTGCAAATGAGGCATTTTTGAATGTTTGGAATTGTTAAAGATTCAGTTTGACTGAGCAGTTGATGTCAAGATGCTGAGCCTCACAGCCAGGCAAGACACACCGATTCCAAGTCCTCACKGCTCCACTTTACAGAACAAGCTGAAAGATGGGTGCTGCTAAGCTTAGTCTGAATCAGAAGCTCTGAAGGAATTKATCTAATCAAAAGAACAGTTAAGTGTGCAAACTGCCATCTTAATAATCAGACAGGCATAGATTATCATATYATAGTTGAGAGAAACAGAAAACATATGTATTTTACTTCTGTGAAATAAATGACAGAAGATTTTCACTTTTGTGAAAATTTCACTATTTCCACTGCTGTAAAATAAATTACACAGATACAGCAGAAAAAAAATCACATAACTTATAAGTAATAATTACGAAAACACTAGGGATTTCCCTCCCACTTGCAAAAATTCTGGTATTTCAGTACAGAACACATTCAAATAAAAAAAGTTTGCAAAAAAGAGCTAATGTTTATTGAAATGGTGTCAAACCTGGCATTTCTAGTTGAGCTGGGAGATGTCTTATCTGTCTTAAATCTCTCCTAACAGAAACAAAACTACAATATTCCACAATATTGAACTGCTTGTGTTACAGCTTTGATTACTGAATGATCCCTGACAAAGAACTTCAGGATGTTTAATCACAATTACTGATTTTGTRCTATTGTTATTATTACTATTAAAAGAACTGCAATGAATTATAACTTGATACTCCTTGCAATAGTATATTCTTTGCTTCTCACTAGCACTGTTTTGACATATGATTGATCATTACACTSAGCAAGATTTTACCAAAACAGGCAGAAAAAAGCATGCAATCTTCCAAAATGAAAATTAGTTTTGCATACTGTCAATGCTTCATTTACCCACAGGAGATGAATTCTGGGTTTTTATTGTTATTCATTACTAATTTTTTCAGGCTAAATACTAATTATTAAGAGGCTCTGAAGCTAAGTGGTAGAGAGGACATCCCCCAAATAAAATCACAATAATGTTTATAAGCAATAGAAGGACATATTTCACATACAGAAATAAGCAAGTTTTCAGTTGGGTCTGAAAAGGTAAGTGAGCCATGTTAGGCAAAATGGGAACTATCACRTCATCAGACAGACTGTATTACAGCTGAAGCAATTTTTTCTCATTTCTCATTTTTTTCCTCATTTCTTCATTAAGAAGGCACCAAAGAAATTGAAATGCTTGAGGAGATATTTTGCTTGCARCCCTAGAAACAAAGGACCTTGCTGCACCTTGGAGAGACAGCTTGCYTCTGCCATCATAACTAAGCAGATCTTTCCTTATAGTTGTGAACTATGCTGCTATAAACTTTAGCATTCCTGCATTTAATCACAAATGTGTGAATTACTTGGGCTAATAACCTCAGCACAYCTTCAGTGAAAGGACTGACATCTTTTTAGTGCTTAAATCTAAATGGGTGTTGGAGCTAGATAATCTGTAAGACCACTTCCWACCCTAACCATTCTATGATTCTAAATTTCAGACTAAATGTTTTTGCCTTCTCTSATTAAAAATCCCCTGATTAATACTGGTGAACCATTTAGTAACATGATAAGGTGATTCCAAGGCTACTTCTGATTTGTTCAGCCCTTCTCATYTTAAGAAGATAGAACTGCATTTTCTCTTTCATAATTATGTATTTATGGCATTGTATTTATGGTATGTGTATTTACCTGATGTAATGCAGTATAATTGATTATGCAATGTAACTGATAATCCATTCACATAATTTATTTCACTCTTGCCTATTATTGTTAACCAAAATAGTGTAAAGTCATCATGAAGTGCCTGAATAAGCTTACACATGTGCTTTAGGAACATGACTGTTACCTAGAAGTCAAAATTTTGAAGAAYTACTAATACAGCATTTAGATTCTGATCCATGCTCTTTGCCTTTAGATAATTAAGCAAGGTAGCCTTGTCTCTCGTAATTGATGGGTAAAGTAGCTAGCTGAAGCTCATATGGGGTTGAAATGGCTCATTTGGAAATGGTGCCTGCTTTTTTTTTAACACCTCCCAGGGATCTGAAAGGGACTACCCTTCTACCTTTAATGTCTCAACTATTCTTAGTGGGACGAATCCAAACCATTTTTAAAGAGTACATGTGCATGCAGAAAAAAAGGAAAAAGAAAACTCACGGCCTTTCCTTGCCTCCTGTAACAATCAAACCATCCCTCAGTGTGGTGTACATTGTGAAAACAGGTCCGTTGTGAGCTTTGGCCACAATTCGTATCAACACATGATCTTTCCAAACACAAACATCTCCACTGATAGTACCTGTAAATGTCAAGTTATTCTGAAAAGGGGAAAAACATATTCATCATCTGATTCTGAGYAAGTAGGAAGAAAAACATTCAGAAACAAAGATCATCACTGTCTGCATTTAGRCTAAATTGCTTTTATTTGCTGTTGTAGAAGATGAAGCTGTGGAAGGGTCAATAAGGATCTCCAGGGACAAAATAATGAGCTACTATATTCCTTCTTGAAGTCTGAAAGATGCTTTCTTGTAGCTTGAAGAAAGTCCTTGTATTTCTTTTTGCAAGAAGAAATGCAATGCCTTAAGCTTCAGCTATAAGGTTATCTGTGCTTTCAGCTTATCAGACGCGCAACGTGTGGCAAAAAAAAGTAGAATACCACAGTAAGAATTGATATTCTATACAACCAGGCAATTTTCAGTCTCTTACTTTGTATATTAAACTTGCAGTAATTTTGTGGTTAGGTGAGGATACTCACAGGATTACAGCAACCTTTAGTTCAGGAAGAAAACTGACTTCATTTAGAATTAGAAATTGCCTGATCTTTACTTCTGCTTCCTTCTCTTGAAAGGTAATAAAAATAAATGTAATTACCTCTGAAATTTAGGGGCAATTTGTTAGGACTACTTAAATTCAATAGGAACTGGTTATTGAGCAAAACTGGATAAGTAACTTACAGGGACAATCCCCAAATTCAGCATCATGTGTAGTATTTTAAGAGAATCAGTACAAAGTACACAGGTGGCACAAACACTTTCCTTGACTGGAGCGGGCTGACGTTCTATGTGCTTTTTAAAGGGTGTGTGCGTGTGGCTCTGATGAAGTAAAAGAGGGCTGGAAAAGCAGTTGAGAGCAGATCCTCAGATCATTCTCACAGCATAACTGTTGGGCTKTTTCCAACTTGTGTTTAGGGACAGCTGAACTAGCTGTTTCCGAGACAAAATCAAGAACAGCCCTCCCAGAACTGCTCCCTACAGAGGTGTGGAGGATGCACCAGGTTTGGCTTTACTCAGTTTGCACAGCATTTCACAAAACTCCTGCAAGCTCTGCCTCCTCAAACAATCTYGTATCAAACCTCAGGTCATCCAGCATACAACCTGATTCTCACAATAAGTATGTGTCTTTTTATAAGTTCACAGAGGTTTCCCGAACCCCTGACTAATGCCTGGGCTGTGCATCAGTAACAGTTATCATTTGGAAAATATCTTGTTTCTTTGTAATGCTTTCATCTGAATCAGACAGATGCCACTATGTGGAAAAAAAGATACTGTCTGTCTGGAAAAAAGACAGTGTAGTGAAAAAAAAAGAAAACACAGCCTACTTAGAGTTTCAAAAATCAAAATCAACAGTGTAAATTCAGTCTGGACCAAACAGGCAGATGGTCAAACAGGACAGCAATGAGGCAATCAAAGCAAAGCATCACTTCACAAAAGGAATCTGTGGCTTTCTGCCCAGCTGAAGAGATGAGTACTGCTCATACAGAGCAATTCCTGAAACAGCAGCACCATGGAACTTTGCAACAAGAACTGCACATGTCCAAAAACCCCCAAAGCAAACTACTGCAGCTGTCTGTAACAGAGTCCAGCAGTCATGGATGTTAATGAATGCCCCAAAACAACACTGCTCTATGATCACCCATAAGCAGTAACATATACAGATTATAAAACAATCATCTCCAGGCAGGCATAAAATAAGCCTCATTTTTACTGTTTGGCTCCTGCAGTCTAGATTCAGTTTTGTTGAACCTGGATTAAATAACGGTGTGTTATCAGTTGAAAGCATCTATGTTTGTCTCTCCAGACAACATACAAACCCAGTCTTTTCTGTTCTAAAGAAAGCTGGTAATAGTTCTAACTTGAAGATAAGTATTAGGAATGCTAAACTGAGTTTAATAAAACTACTSATACACTCATTAGCAGGTTATAAAATTCTCACTAAACTGAATGAAGGCAGAAGGGTAAAAAAGAAGTTTGTACAGATTTTCAAGTGGTTTGTTGCAGTACATACCGCTCCAAAAGCTACAGAAAGCATTGTCTGCATGCGGGCATCTTCTATGGAGCTCAGCAGCCCTTTTTTACTGAGGAGAGCTCTTCCAGCCAGTGTCCAGAACCTCACATGTTTTACTCCCACGGAAACAAACTGTGTATCTGAATCTGGTCTGAATTCTGCTACAAATATACGCTGGTTATGACCAGCTCGGCTGGCAATTTTGGCACCTGGAAGAAAGAAGATGGACATTTTGAATTTGCTGAGAAAAAAATACACATTTCTGGTTAAAAAATGTTAATGCAATTTTGACCCATATGAAGATTCCTCAGTCAGGATCCTTAGCTACCATTCTGAATGTGTATCAACTCTTAAAATGAGCACAGGCATGTTATGAYCACACATCTTTCATCCTACCTAGGTCTGTAAAAATACACATCTGACATTGCATCCATCCCCACATGATCTATCAGACAAGCTGTGAAAGATCACTTCATATTAACTTAATAGCTGATCTTTAAAATTCTAAGGGTTAATAGCTGATCAACAGCAATCCCCAAAGAGAGAGGAAGTAAACCTCTAAGACTAGAGAATGAGATYCATAATCTGGGCATGGCCTTGCCAGGAAGAAAGGAGGTGAGGAAAGGAGCTCACCAAATCTCTTTAGCCTAAATCCTGAAAGACCAAAGCTGATGGGAAAACATGTAGCATAGMTTAAGACACCAATTATACAAGATGCATAGAAGAGCTGTCCTGGCACCACATTTCTGCAATTTGCAACTTTTGGAAATAATTTCATGAGCATGGTAACCTAGTCAGTATTCAGACTTCAGAGAAGAATGAAGTAATAATAGCAATAATAATGATGACAATTAAAAAAAAAAAGAAAACCCAACATTATTCTAACTGRAAATTGGTGAACTATCTTGATCTTTACACAGTAGTTTCAAAGGAGATATATTTAGCAGTTACTAGGATGTGTAAACACATCTATTTTAATATTGTTGTACAGAGCATAGTGCATAGCATTTATTGTAATAATTTTTGACCTGCTAATATTTTAATCTTAAAATTGCTCTTGTCCCAAGCCAACATACCTCCAACAATATAAACAGCTTCTACAGAAACAGTCACTTTCCTACCTTCCTGCCACTTCCAAATGGTAATGGTGTGTTCGGGATCCAGCCCTATGGACAGCAGCAGTTTGCCMGTGGCACTGAAACTGACGGAGCAAACGCCTTTGGAATGGTAGCACCGCAGTACCGACAGTGTCTGCTTGTTCATCGCATCCCACACGTGAATAGAAGGAGCTGTAGCTACACCAGTATAAAAACATGCCATTAGTATATATTTTCAACCTGTGTAATAATTTGTTTCATTGAAGTAATTAATACTTTTGAATAAGACAAATAAAATTGCTGTTATCAGATGGGGGGAAAAAGGAAAGAAAAGAAAGGAGATTTTGGCCTCCCTTTGGAAACCCATTTATGGCAAACAGGATCATTAGGTACGATGAACAAGTTGGTCTCATTACATTACCTGAGATGAAAACTTAGCTTAACTTGTTATGGGACTTGTGAAGCACAACAGGAGTTCTAACAGCAAGCTGTCTTCTCTTGTTTTTCTCCTACTAAAACTTAGATCAGCATGCTAACTCACAAACCTCCATAACTATCGAGCAGCTCATCAAGAACGTCACTTCTACATCAGGCTTTTTGACAACTGATAGCTACAGAGAAATCAGTTTACAGTGCAAGGCCAAAACCTCCTTTGTACAAAATGGCCATTTGTCTGAAATGCTTGCCCTCTTAGAAGAACACCATCCGAATAATCAGCTTGCTTACTGATGCAGAAAAACTAGGGTATTTAGTTTGCTATTTATATTGTTTAGGCTGAATGCTCTTTGAAATAAAAACTGTCTTTGCATGCCATTAAAGTATCTGATTATCTCTACAGTGATGACAGCTAGTTCTTTCCCAAATGCAAGGCCTTCTCAAAAGATCTTGCAATCCACGTATAGTTTACAATCTCTGAAAAGCATCCAAGGCATTTCCAAGACAGTAAGATTCTCAAACTTCTTCAATTCTCATCTCAAATTAATTTGACTGCAAAGCCTGGAGGTTACTGGTTCTTGTCATAGACCCAGATTTACATAAACAAAGCTCTCTTTCAGAAAGTTTCATGCTTTGTGTTTCCAATCAGCTARATCTAGGCCCTTAAAGGCACACGTGTGATGGGAAACAGTAGGCACAGGGACTTGGGCAAAATTTCGCCCACATGAAGTTCAGTTTTGAGCACAATCACACARCTTTTCTAAAAAAGTCTTTACAAAAATCTTCCTAATTTCTTTTATTTCCCATTGGAGTTTCCTCTCATGGCAGCAGCATGATGTTGTCATAACCTTTTGAGAGGTACTACAGCACAGTATGGACATTCCACTTAAACAGAAAGGGCAGGGGTTGACAACAACTGGCATGGCCCAAAAATAGTCAGCAAACTCCTTGTTGTTCTTATGGGAAGCTGAGGGAAGGGAAAGCTTTATTATGACTCTGAACTGTTTTTCACTCTTCAACACTCCCCTTGGTAAAACTCTGTATTGCCCTTGACTTGTGTATCTGCCCTATAACCTTGGCCAAAATTTTTCTTTTGGGGGGCAGACAGAAACTCTCACCTAGATTTCCTGAATAAGAACTGACAATATATTTCAGAGCAAGATCTGCAAGACAGAGAACTTGGACTCTTAGGTGCTTAGGTCCTTGATGGAGTCTTTCTGAAAGTCTCTGACACTGGGTCTTGCCTGTGTACTCAACACTCTCACAAGAGAGATGTTCTAAGGTGTCATTTTCTTGGAACAGTTAGATAAAGCTGCCATGGGCTGGCAGGACAAAAATACCTTCAGTAAGGTGGACCAAATCTRCATCAAGTCATTAGGAAACTTTATTTGCCATTTCAGCCTATTACAAACATTACTGCTTCAAGAACCCCTGAATCCCAGTAGACAACTGAAAATTGGAACTAGAAAAGGAAAATTGTTTGTAAGAAGGATGCCAAATAGCCATCGTAAATTTTAAGTGAAACTATTCCACTTTCTAATGAAAGCAGGAAGCAGCTTGGATTCCAGACTAATGGTTCCATAAAGAAGAAAAAAGTTAAGTGTGCTTGTTTCAAGCAGTGACAACAAAATTTAGTAATACACAGAAGCTCAAACTAAAGTTGCTGTAGGAAGAAGGCAAGTGAGACAGGGAAAGTGTCCAGGCACCATATGCAGTATTAAAGATGTCCTTTCATATAAATATCCATATCATCATTGCTTTTTTAATAGAGGTTAAAAATGTGTGAAAAAGTTCCTATCTTCTTCCTCCCATCCTTARAGCAAGCACTATTTGCAATATTTAAGAGAAGTCAACACACATTAAAGATGTCATTGTACGTTTGTTCTTACAGAACAAGTTTTAGATCCACATGAAGATTATTACACTTTCTAGTACACATGACCATGCATTTATGCATCTCTGAAGATTCTTCACAAGACAATTAATGGCTGCTCAACAATGAAGTCATTTGCACATGGCGGTGATGAATTTTTATGATTACAGTTTAAAAAAAAAACCATATTAATAAAAAATAGCTCAGTCAAGACTGTCAAAATGTCAAAGACCCAAAATGATACAGGAAAAATTAAACTGACATCATAACAAGCATTTTGGTTCAGTGGTAATAACTGCATGACAATTGTACATAAATGTGAAAGGTGATTAGTTTTTTCACTCAGTCACCTAGGCCTCCTCAATGGAATTTACTTAAGAAATGCATATTTAAAATTACACTCAATTGAAGGTCTAAACCAAATGTCAGCCCCAACATGTCTACAAAACTGGCAAGCATACACAGGAATGCTACAGTAGCAGTATGCATTAGAACTCACTACTCACTGAGCAGCAAGAAGGGAATTTGCTTCAACAAGAGCAATTTTAAAATGTGTTCTAACATTTTTATTTTTTCTACATTTACAGTATGCTGAGCTGTTTTGACTCATATTCAGTGCTGACAGTAATATCAGTGATACAGGGGTTTTATTAAACTAAAAATGAATTCACATTACTTATGGCTCCATAAAGCTACAGATGGCTACTAGATAGACTAGCTACACCTGAAGATGTTAAAATTTTATTTCCCTTACCTGACATATCTGCTGAGTCTCCTGTAATGGAAAAGCAGCAGAAAAATAATTAGATCAGAAATAAGATAAGTGCTAAAGAAAATATATGCCACATTCAGTGTAATATCTTAACACACACCTTGATGTCATACTTTTGCACTGCAACAGCAACAATACTGCTGTTAAAGATGAGTAATTACTGATAAAAGGAGGTCACATCAGAAATAAATCACAGAATATGTTGAATGAWTGAATATATTTTGCTTTCCATTTTGAACTATAACACAAAAATCTAGTTTTGATATATGTTAGGTCTCTTTATGCCAAAGTAAATGAAAAAYGTATTTTTTCATATCATTGATATTTGAACAAATTAAGTGGGGAAAAAATGCTCAGAAGTAGCATTTGAAGTTGAAGTAGCATATTGAAGTTTCAATAAATCTTTTGAAGATTTAAGTCATGGCAGTGACACTATTTGTGCCAACCATATCAGCAGGAAAAGTAGCAGCAGTTAAGTAGGTTCTTTATGGAACAGGTACTCCTTAMCATCACTTGAAAATCGAAAAATATGTCTTGTTTCAAGATATTTCCCTTCCAATGCATTTTAAATTCTCTGCTTAAAAGCATGTTTTGTAGTCTAATTTTTAAGTGTCATCTGCCCCTGATTTGTATGCCTTAATCCACATTACAAAACAGTTAAAATTGCTCTATTGCTAGTTGACGTAGAAATTATTACACAATTTTTAAAAAGTATTAAGTCCTGTGTTTTGTCTTAGGTAAGATGAACCCTGTAGAAGAAAAATTTTCACATTCCTCTCCTATGGAAAGGCAAATAGGGCCAAATTAAGAAATAGGAAAAAGCAATTTCTTAAAGACAATAAAAGGTTTGTAATTCCTGCAAATATTTTTTGTAATCAAACCATAGACAAAAATCTGCTGATGATTTTTTCAATTTAAATGAAACTCACCAAGAAATAGAGCTATTTTAGCTAAGCAGTTACTATTAYCAATGAGTCTATTTTAACAAGACATGCACCTAAAAATCCAAAAGACACAGGAAAGCAGGTAATAAAGTCTGCATAACTGAATGCATTTAGATGAAACATCTAAAACACACTTTAAAAAAAAGCTATTTTCTCTGAAATCAAGTGTTTCTTTTGTATTCTGTGCGCTGAAGAAAACAATGTGGGTTTGAATCTGCTGAGAACAAACGGAAGTTATGAAAATTATAATTTGTTTGTAGGGCTACAAAAATCACTATTCTGCAAAATTTAGAAACAGCAATTGCTACCAGCTATGCAAATGCAAAACTGGCTTTTTCTTTTTTCTTTTTTTTTTAACCTGGTTAGTTCATAGATCTTAATGTCACTATGAAATATATACACATTTTCACTCTAAATCTAAATTTATCTGTAAGAAACAGCATTAGGRTTTTGGTTCTGCCTGGAATATTACAACTATATCAAATGGAACCACCTGATGATAAATCTACCTGATGAGATAAAACCTTCACAGATTAATATGTATTTTAAGAAATGAAGGTTAGCKCTATTCAGCTTCTTTGGAAGGTCTAACACAAGCTGATAGTTCAATACAACCAGAATAACTTAATGGGGCTTAAGATTTCTGAAAAAATAGTTTTGATAATACTCCAAATAAAAGATAAGTTTAATATTTCATGCCTCAATATTTTTGTCAGCTTTATTYAATTACACTCAAAGAAACATATAAAGAGGACAGGTAACTGAGTAACACTCATACAAACGGAGATAGCATAATCAAATATTTTTGTGATTTACCATGAATTTACAAGGCCCTGATTGCATGCTCTTATGTTAATTCTTTTTACAAAAATACAAACATACCTACTTGGCCAGTTGCCACTATGTTGGTAAACTTGGGRTGCTGATTCACAGTGAGGCACAAAATATCATCATTGTGTTCCTGGTAAAATGACTGAGAGCCTAAAAATAAGAAAAGAAAAAAAGACAACAAACCAAACCCTTTCTTCAACTTTAATTAAAACATTTATACACACATAAACATGGCTAATGTTAGMAAAATTTATAATACTTGTCAGAAAACAGCAATAAGGTCACATTGCATTTTGATATCTAAACCCAGAAAACAGAAATTCCTAATTTTTTATCTTGACTTCAACACACAGCACTCAGTTTTCCACATCATGTTGCTTAACTATCACAGAAACAAATGGCACTGTGCACTTTTTTAAAGGTCTAAATGCTGTAAACTAAATGGGTTATTGGGAGTATGTGATATAGACGACAGAAAAGTAAACCAAATAAAAATATTAAGTTATTCTTATTAAAAAAAAATAAAAATTACAACTACCCCGTTATGCAGGTTTTTTCAGTATCTACGATCATTTTAACATGCAAATTTCAGAAAGCTATTACCAAAAAAGTCAAACCTTTACTTCCTTCAAAGCTCAGTCACCAGGAGCATTTCAGGATACTTGTTTGCTTATGCAGCTATTATGAACCTTCTCTACAGACTGGAATTTCAGCAATAAATAATACTTTTCTCACATACTTTTATAATATTTAAAGCACACTAGTTACTTCATAAACTGTAACTCCATGTATGCAAAAAAACATTTTCCCTCCAGTGGGTTTTCTCCTACCTGTTGCCACATTATACAAAATCCCAACAGACGCCGTGTGATAAATGACATCAGCACCATCATTCAAATAGTGAACATTGTTTCTGCAGTCTTTGCCTCGATACCCAAATACCAGCTCCAAAATTAGGTCCTAAAAAAAGATATTCACATTAATAGACACTCAAAACCTTAAAGCAGTTATGAACTTTACGGTCTTCTGCAGCATTTTATTGTTTAATTATGTCCTTAAGTAGTAAAGGAGTTTAATGACATCTCAAATCAACAGAAAATGGACAGAAAAACAGACAGCTGGTGTCCCCCCGTCAGTTCTCATGCCTGCTCCTTTTTCTCACACATGGCTGTGCCACCCTTTCATACCTGCCAGGGGGATGCTGCAGAATGTTTATGTGCATAATGCACACAGTCATGTATAAACACTGAAAGAAACACTCATAAACATGCACATAAATAAATCAACTGCAGTGAAAATTAAAGCTCTTTTAATGCAGAAGACACTAAGAAACCAAGAATGACAAACACTAGTCCACAATTTAACTGCAGCCGGAMAGTAGAAAGCTGAATTGCAGCCTAAAAATTCCACAGTACTGATGTCAAAAGGCTGTTTATTATGCTACATCAAACACTTTGCAGCATAAACAATATTTGGTTTGGTATGAAGAACTGCATTTTCKAAGGTTAGATGAAATTTTCACTTCAGATTAATCAAAAGTTGGTATATTTGTTCACAATTGCCATGTTATGAAAAACAGGTGCCAAAGCTAAACTCATCATTAATATAATTTCAAAAATATTTATAAAACATTTATTTTATTTATTTTATCAATTATGAATTTGAAATGAACTTTCAAAATAAATTCTAAACAGATTGGAGAAAAAAAATGTCTAGTTTTATTAGCAATAATACACCCTTTAACAATCCAGTTAGCTAAACAAGAAATGCTACTTTCTACAGCCACTTCTATGGTTTTATGATTACTAAGTATTGAGTTATACTTCATTTCATTTGCAAAATAAAGAAATACAGAACTTTTTTTTTATTTACAAGAAAAAATTCTCTCCCACTTTTTTTTGCTATTTACCCACTATTCACTATTTCCCTCTTTGATAAATTTTAGATTAAACAATCATTCAATGTGCTCGCAGATGTGTCAGTTTCTGGCAAAACAAAAACATAAAAAAAATAAGAGATCAACCTTTTTCTTACCTCTATAGGTCTCTTTTTTTTCCCCACATTATTGGTCTGAAGCTTCTCCGGCTGTGGCAATGCCCTACTAACTGGTGGTCTGAAATAAAGAACTGTGAATAAGAGAAGGCTGTCCGTCACCCATTCCATACTAACAGTACCTTCCAAGCTGCTAATGCACAGAAAAATCTTACAGCCCTGTCCTACTCAACCAATATTCATATTCATCTTTGAAAGAAATGCCTCTGTCAAAGGAGAAAGACAAAACCCAAAAATCCTTTGTTTAACATGCTCAGTTTTCTAATTCTTCAACAATCCATGACTTAATGCAAAACCTTTTTTTAAAATGACTGACCACTTTTAAAGTATTCTTAGCTCTTTCAAGCTATGTTAAGGTATTTTCATCTCCTTCATAACAATTTTACTGAATAGAGGCTTACCTGATTAATCTAATAATTCCTGTTCCCACATGCCTCCAGCAGACCCCTAACTTTTCCTGTTTTGTAATAGTTTTAAAGAACTCCAGATGCACCTGCTCATTCACTCTTACCTCAGCTGAAATGAGATATTGATCAAAGCTTACRTGGAAGGAAATCCAGACATGCAAATGCAGGAATAACAGCCATAACTTGTGTTCCACTGTTCTGAACAGCCCAGATTTAATTAAGAAATCTCAACTAGATATGTTTAACAAATATTCATAACATTATTTATAGATTCAGTGACATCCAGATGATTCAAGTAGGCAGTGTAATAAACTAATATCAAACATGACACAACASGTCTCTTTCATACTCCTTTCAGTACAAACTACTTCTAATTTCATCTCTGCTCTTGAGTGATGACTTTGATTCAAAATAATGACTGTCTTTTCTAARAGGAATAGAATATAATTTATTTGTACACTGTGTATTTTGAATGACACTTGAAAACCTTCTTTTTTTAGTTATTCAAATAAAGTTCCACTTTCTTAGTTTTATTTCTTCATTTTTTCTGCCTAATTTTAGTACAACTTACAGATTGATGTCACATTACCAAACAAAAGATGTATAGGTATTATAATGCAAATTACACTGCAAATATAAACTGTGCTCTCAGATATTGCAATTAGTTCCTCTACTCCTAGAAGCCTGTCAAGTATGYGTGGAAAAAAAAAATTCAAAAACCCCAGATGACAAAAAAATTCTGTCTGGTATAGAAGTTGTCAAGTACTTGAATCACCCAAATGTGATCAAAATTATTAAAGCTTCCTATTGTGTTAGACAGGACTAGAGGGAGGTACTTGAAATATTTAATTCAGCATCTAGATTTTATGAAACGTGAAATCTATACAATAGAAAACCCAAGTGCACATCTAAGAAGAAATATTGTTACTGCACATTTAGTTAACACTATGAATCTTTTCACAGGAGGRAATATTAGCTCTATTAAATTATAATTGCAGCAAAACATGAAGTAATAATTTAGAGTTAAAAAGAAAATTCACTGCATGAAGGAAGATAACTAAGGTTCATATTTCATATTCATTCATAGATAAATGCAAATTAAAACAGAGAACACTAACTTGAACTATGAAGAAATACTTCTGTAACTTCACCAAGAATGGTAATCTAATACTTGCTTTTTACTATGGAAGTTGTTTTTTTTTCTTTTTTTGTAGAAAACAGACTTCTAACTGGGAGTAAAGGCAAAATCTGGGAACAYTGGCCATACATAGCAAGGCAGGTCAGAAAAGGAGTCCAATGTGGACATGCACTAAAGGCCTGCTTCTTCAGAGACAAATATTAAAAGATAGCAGCATTTAAATCTACTTTTTCAGTCCTGCTGATATTTGTATGGGGGGAATGTACCCCCAGAATTCATTCTCAAAGGCCCTCAGTTACACATWATTTTTCTTCTCTGAGGTGTGCAAATATTCACATACACCTTGAGACAGAAAAGCAAGACATTTTAACTTTGTTTTTCAGTCATAGTCTGGACCTAGCTCACAGTMATAGCATCCGGTCCTTTAGTATGTGAAGGTGGTAAAATAACCTCCTAACTTTWGGAAAGGAGGAGGAAAAGAAAACCAAGCATGGTCTGGGCAGTCTTCATCATCTATACAAGCACACTGGTCAGCACAGGGARCATGGAATGTATCTCATTTCTGTCAGCAATCCCAATATCCAATTTCATGATCACTCTTSAATCACTGCTGTGTCTCAACTGGTTCATTCCACATTTTGTTCTGATGTGAGACCCCCAGCCTGCAAAGCTATTTTTCCAGGTCTTCTATTCTGTCCTATCATCACTGACTCCAAGCATTCCCTTATCCAACAATGGCACTGCTAGGCAGAATTCACACTTTTTCATTTTAAAAAGTAAAGAAACTACGCTTTTATTCAGAACGTTCTAAATCATCATTAGAGAAAATCTTCCAGCAGGTCACAATGTTTACCATATCAAGCATATATGGAGAGAGGTCATCTAAAGGAGCAAAAAATGTTTGACCATATTTGTTCCCCACTTTCACAGCAGATGAGCCATTTCAGTTACAAATACACCAGGCAGGCAGCACCAGGTATCTCCCAAGTGCCACAGAAGTGTTCTTATGATTGTGTGCTACCCAAACAAAATCAAATCCAATCATGAAAAACTACTGAAACCTACGACCAACTCTTTAAGGGCACTGATTCAATATGGGAAATGGGCTTTTTACAAGCACTTCAGTGATACAGAGAATAAAAACCTGCTCTTGTTCCTTTAAGTAAATGAAGAGACTGAGATAAAGAGAAACTAATGTAKCCCAGTTTCTGTTAATACTTGCTGAGCTGAGGGAGAAGAGAGAGTAATAAATCAGACAGCTTCTTCAAACATCTGAGGTAAATCTACATTACGATTCCCTCTTCTCTCCTAAAAATATTTTTTTCCCCAAAYCTTCTTTTAAATGGTCACACTGATCTCCCAAAATATTACAAATAAAGTTTCATTTGGGTTTCGAAGTAGTTTGGGTTTCTTTTCCACATGAATATAAGTACTGCTTAAAACAGAACAAATTCTAGTGCTTACAACTTCTAAAGTTCAATGACAAAATAATAACCAGTTCTCTGCATGTGCAATCAAAAGTCTCTTTATAATGAATAGGGTTAAATTCAATGAATTGGCAATTACCATCATAATACATAAACTGTTATTTTATGGTTAAGAATTACAGTAATTGAAACATATCTAATAGCTGATTTGTGAACGAGTTGATATTAAGAGCTGCTAATCAAATTTTTTCCCTATCTACAATTTTACTTTCAGTTGTATTAAAATTTCTGAATTTGATACTTCCATAACTGCTGCTCATTTATTAAGCATCTAGGAACACAATTAAAAATGTAAGTTCCTTAAAAGGCATTTGTACAGAAATGGTTTCTTAAAAATCTCACGTWATGTTGACTTTGAATTTTTTTTTTAMATTATGTAAACACAACATGGACCTTTCTCTTTTTAAATATGGAAAGTGGAAACAATCCTGAAGTGCCAAAAACTGGAAGACCATAAACCAGTGATTCTGTTGGTCCTAACCATAAGTTTCCCCAAGAATCAGCTTTCCACTGCCATGTTCCCTCTTCTCTCATCCCAGGCAACAGCAATAGAAACAAACAGTGAGCAGGGAATACTGCAGAAATGTAAAATGCTGTTTGTTGGGTGTGCTGTTTCTACTGGCATTTCTAGAACTCAAAAGGACTTCTGGAGAAGAAGAAATAGTTATCAAAGACACATTAAGGACTAAAAAGAAATCCACAGAGCCACCTTAATCTGCTGTAAAGCTTCAACACCCAATATAGSATTGCCAGTCTACACAGAGCAGTARGAAAAAAAGTCAAACCTTCTTGAAAGAAGTTGAAAAATAGATATTCCTCTCGGCTCCAGACAGCCTTTCTTGCTGAGAGGGAAGCATGCTGATACTTTTCATAGGGCAAGGAAATCTTTAAATGCTTTATTTAGATTACAGTGTAGCCAGCATGTGGAACAAAAATATCAGATTCTAGATTCAGCAATTGTGCAGAAGTTTCTCTGTTACTTTGAATAGCAGACTAAGATTTGTAGCAGTTACTAATGTCCTGCTTTACAGATGAGGGTAGGGGAAGATCGAGCCAGACTGCCCAATCCACCTCCTGCTCACTCTATAATGCTTCCAAAGACTTCATATTTTTATTTTCTGATTTGTCATGGACAATTCTGCAACAGTCTCATTACTATTCCTCCAGAAACTAACAGAATAGAGTATAAAAAGACTTTCTTGCACTTGTCAGCTTCGTAYTGGACATACGGTACTCATATTTCATTTCTTCTCTCTCTCCTACCCTGGCACTAATTCACTTACATCCCTAAAACAGAGGGGAAAATGAGCTGGAGGGAAAAAAACAGGCAGAAAAACAAAATATAGGAGAGGAAAACATTTCAAGTTTGATGAAAGCAGTAAAAACTGAAAGGACATGGTTCTGACACAGGTTTACGTTACTGGAACTGAGCATTTCTTTGTTGTTTGCTTCTAGAATGTGGCATTTTTACAACATTTGTTGTGTTTTAATCCCCTGCGATAGAATGGGAGAAGAGGTAAAACAATCTCACATTTTACAAGTGCTTGAGAAGACCATCTGCACTAGAAGGCAGTACAGATACAAATACAGGTTGGTATCAACCTCAGGTAATCATTAGAGTACATTTACATTTTTACATTACCACCCAACAGACTGAAGTGAATGTACATTGGTCAGGAAAACTTGACAACTTTTACTCAGCTTTATTATGTCACCCAAACAATTTATCTAAGTATCTGTCCAGGAAAAATTCTGTATTGATCCAGAGCTGTGGAACTGGAACACAAATTACAAACACCTATGTATTCTTTTCCCAATTAAGTTTTAAGGTAACAATTTGTGCATTTAAAAGCAGGAATGCTGAAGGACATGCAAATATATTTTCCAAGTGCCTTTTTTAAAGGTGTGAAAGCTGAAGATATTTTTAATTTGCTGTTTAATGTGCAGCAAGATGACTATCAGTATATACAACACACAGTGGTCATACACCTGTATGCATAACTCGCTGCATGCTCAAAAACTGAGTGGA